TCGGTTAATTCGACGAAAAATCTGTACATTCGATATGTATTGATTCCCGAAAATCCGCACTACTGCGCCAGTTATATTTTCGACTTCGCAATTTTCCTTTTTAAAAAACTTCATTTTCACAATTACAGTACTCTCTTTAACTCTGACTTTCTCTGTCTAGCACAATTATGCGTTTAGCAAGTATATATAAGTTACAAAATGCAAGTTAGCTTAAATTATGATAGTCCGGGCAGTTTCGAAGTTTAAGCGTCACGTAACTCATGTCGACAAAAAAGTATACTTTTTGAAGCAAACACGTGGGGCTAACTGCCTGATCCTATTTTGAAATTTAGCAACACCGATAAATTTGAAGTCATTTTAAAAGTGAATTTAACGTGTTCTTGTGCAATTACAAGATTTCGGATTATTTTCCAATTCAAAAAGACCCGTCCCTATTAGCAACTCTTGCTACAAAAATGTGACGAACGGCAAATAAACCGTGTAATAATGAAGGTTAAATTTCATATTTCAATTTGTTTCTGTAAAGGTTATATCACCGATTACTACACTCCAATAGAACTGAATAATTGTAGTTCAGTATTTAAAAATTACTACATAGGTACAATGAAGTTGCAAAAACTGTTGAATAGTTTACTATAACAAGAGTTACAAGGTATTCCACTACAATAAAAATAAGTAATTTTGAATTCTAGCAATCTAAAAAGATAAAATGCAGAGTATTATTCTAGAATACTTTTGTATACTATGTTGTAAGATTTGTGTCGATTTCCGACATTAGACACTCGCGAACAGGCTACAGATAGTTGACCGTGAGAGAAACATGGCCTTTCTAAGTGAACTCCTGCAGCCTGTAATGTCTGCCCTTGTGCTTTGTTTGTAGTAATAGCAAAGCGTAGCTTGACTTGAAACTCGACCTTTTTGAATTAAATGGGAAGGCCAGTGGGAATAATAATTGTAATTCGAGGAATGAAGACACTTTTGAAGTGATAACTTTTTAACGGCGGCTACCGCTCCGGCCTCTTCGCGCCTGAGGCTTGGGACGCACATATGCACTTTGAATTCGACATTTTTCTCTTAGTGAGGGTGCACCTGTAGATCTGATAAACTTTTCAAATACACATTGATTTATATAGTGATTTAGATTTATCAATTATTAAGTGTGATATTATTGTGTTCGGCGCAGTTTATTTTATAAAGCTGATAACAATGAGTCAAGAAATTATAAAGGGAGAAGCTGCAGATACTGCAAATACTAGGTTAAGGGTGTTCATGCTTGCTCGAGTTTCTCCTTCTTTTAAATTTCCAATTAAAGTACACACACAATTAGAAAAAAAACCACACACCAAGAAAAATCGCTAAAACAGTTTAAGTGCAAAAATTGATTATCGTCTATCAATTTGCAGAAAAATGTATTACAACCTTTTAAACATCATCTTCAAACGACCGGGTTAAATATTGTTTTAAGAACTATCAATCGTTGTTGTGCAACAAAATTGTACCTAAGATCCACTACAATAAAGTTTTTGAAAAACTGTTGGACCTATTTTAAATCGCCTGATTGATTGTGGACGCAAATTCGTATCACGAAGAGATTAAATTAAATTAAATCGTATCGATAGAATCCCGGTACCGATTCCCTATGTCTTACTATCCGTCTGTAGTCCAGATGCTGGCAGATGATGTCCATTTGGGTCAATTTATGAAAAACTCACAAGATTAAGTGCAAATAAAGTGTCACAACTATTATTAATAACTTTTAATTCAATAAGATGTTCTATTATTTGTTGTTTTATTTTATAACAACAAATTATCAATATTT